CACCCCTGTCTATAGTTAAGATAAATTACCCGATATTTAAGAAGATGCAGAAAGGGAAACGTTGGGACTCCAAGGGTATGTGAAATTTCAATCCCACCCACCCAACCATTCTCTGCAAAGATCGGACTGATTTATACTCGCCTCCTCGCCTTACACCTGAGTCTCCAACGAGGGCCATGACGGGGTCAGATCTAACTGTAGGGAGCCCTTCCCAGTGGTGGCGCGGAGGAATGCATGCACCAAAGCGTCACAGAAATAGACTGCCCGGAGGTCACCATTCCCTTCCCGGTCAGGGCACATGCCCGGTGGCAGGCTCGGTCCCCAGTGGGGGGCGTGCAGGAGGCAGCCAATCAGTGATTCTCTCTCATCATTGATGCTTCTATCTCTTGCTCCCTCTCCCTTCCTCTGTGAAATCAATAACAATATATTTTTGAAAAGAAAAAAGAAATAGACCGTGTTCCAGAAGACACGCTCTCCTGATAAACAGAAGAATGTTTGGTGGATATGGTGAGTGCCAAGTAGCGTGTTCAGTGCCTGGACCAACCTGGCCTCTCCATCCACACCAATGGGCCACAATGGTAGCAACTGATCCAGGAACGGGCAGTGGCTGCTGGGAGTTCTGACCCCTTCAGAGAGCCTGTGCGCCCTTCGGAAGTGTCCGCAACAGGAAACGCATAGCACTCGGATGGTGCCCTCCGAGGAGCCGGCTCCCTGGCTGCTGCTGTCAGGGAGCCTTGAGACAAGACCTCCGTGCGACCCGTGTTCACGTAAGTCAGACGCGTGGTCCCCGCGATGCAGGGACTCGGTAAACGGACGCACAGCTGCCTGGGAGCTCCGGGGCTGGCAGTGTTGTTGTTGTTGTTGTTTTTTCTGAAACACTTTCTCTCGTCCCTGCGGCTCCTCGTCCCAAACAGCGGGCAAGGCCAGGAAGAAATCTCACTGCCCGAGGCTGCGACTCGGGAAGGGAAATCGGACAATTCACACGCACACCCATGTTCTAGCCTCCCTTTCCAGAACCCACAGCCCATGTTCTCCTCCCGGGAACAGGGAAAAGGGAACGCATTCCGTATGCACACATGTTGTAGCTGTCTTGGTCCCGCGCGATGAGTAAATTACAGGTTCTATAGCTTCCACAATTCACGGGAGCGTGAATGAGACGCCGGCCTGGCCTGGCTTGAAGACCCCGGGTTCTCAGCCCGAGGAGGCTACCCAGGAGTCGGGGCGCCTCCGCAGGCCAGGTTCTGTAGCTCCCGCAATTCACGGGAGCGTGAATGAGGCACCGGCCTGGCCCGGCTTGAAGACCCCGGGTTCTCAGCCCGAGGAGGCCACCCAGGAGTCGGGGCACCTCCGCAGGCGTTTCGGGGGCAGCGGGTCGGTCTGCCGGGAGCCACGGAGGACACGCGGTTCTGTCTGGTCCCTTTCCAGCGGCTTACACATTCCATAAAAAGGAAATGAATTATGCATTATTGGGTTTACATAAGGTCACCCCGTGAACTCTGACCCCTCTCTTTTCTCATTTGGCTCAATTATTAGATGAAATGACAGATTTGATCTCTTTTCAAATTGTATTAGAAAGGGTCTCTTTATTTCACCCTCCGGCGGCAATCAGCTGACAGGAGCGGCAAGTGCATTAATTATGATTGATTTAGAGTGTCTATCGGGCGATTACTCCTCGCATTCGACTCCGGAGCCGCAACCTTTTGACCTATTTCAGGCCACACAGCAAAGTAATCCATGAGGAGATTTAAGGGGGAGCTGGGCTCGGGGACGGCGGTTCCCCTCCCGTATTTGCAATCAAAACATTGAAGACACTCGGGGCGATCCGCAGGGATTGAATTACGGGCAGGCTCCGTGGGGAGGGCATTTGACAACCTGACAACTGGGGTTGAAAAACATCTTGTGAAGAATAACCCAACGTGGCTCTGAATGAGCCTCCCCGCACCTGACCCCCCCCCCCGCCCCCCCAAAGAGAGAAAGACTCAGAACTCCTAACTCCCTCTGCTCTGAGCTAATAGGGGGGGAAGTCTTTTTTTTTTTATGAGATTGTGCATTTGTCACCATTGGACTTTCAGAATAACGTGCCTGTTGTTGGGACGTTGAGCCGCCCTCATCATTCCCGGGGATTAAAAATGACAGCACTAATTAAAGACGTAAAGAAAGGCGGCCACTGTGGGTCGCCTGCAGAGGCGCGAATTATAACGAGCGTCCGACGGGGAGGGAGAAAGCAAGTTGAGGAGGCCTCATTGTCAGGAGTTTCTTTCTGAGGACGGAAAAGCATCCTGCAGATGAATGCTGCTTAGCAAAGGGGGTGTGTGACCCAAACTGCCATCTCCGAGCGATGAGGTCCTGGCGAGGAGGGAAGGGGAGCGTGTCCTGGAGTTCGCGGCAGCTGATCGATGACCTCAGTCCCGCTACCAGCCGGCCAAGGCCCGGGGGGAAGACGGCGACGTGTGGGTGAGGACTGAACAGCTCCTCCCCGCGGCATCTGCAAACTGCGTGACCCGGGGCCAGCGGCTCGCCCGCCCTGGTCTCTGCTCTCCTTTTCCTACCGGGTGCAGAGTGGCTGTGAGGATTAGAGACCATATGTGTTTAGAGAAACAAAAATATTTTATTGTTGTTATTTATAATCCTCCGTGGCCATTTATGGAGGTGGGTCATGGGAACTGAGGCATCTTTCATTCGCTGAGCACAAACAACTTCTGCTCTCAGACCCCAAAATAGCAGGGAGCGGTGGAAGGAGCTCGAAACTGGAAAAGAGGGAAGTTCAGCTCAGGGAAGGGCTGGAGTCCGGAGGGTAAGCGGCTCCTGAGAAACTGAGGAGCAGAACTCCTAACTCCCTCTGCTCTGAGCTAATAGGGGGGGGGATCTTTTTTTTTTATGAGATTGTGCATTTGTCACCATTGGACTTTCAGAATAACGTGCCTGTTGTTGGGACGTTGAGCCGCCCTCATCATTCCCGGGGATTAAAAATGACAGCACTAATTAAAGACGTAAAGAAAGACGGCCACTGTGGGTCGCCCGCAGAGGCGCGAATTATAACGAGCGTCCGACGGGGAGGGAGAAAGCAAGTTGAGGAGGCCTCATTGTCAGGAGTTTCTTTCTGAGGACGGAAAAGCATCCTGCAGCTGAATGCTGCTTAGCAAAGGGGGTGTGTGACCCAAACTGCCATCTCCGAGCGATGAGGTCCTGGCGAGGAGGGAAGGGGAGCGTGTTCTGGAGTTCGCGGCAGCTGATCGATGACCTCAGTCCCGCTACCAGCCGGCCAAGGCCCGGGGGGAAGACGGCGACGTGTGGGTGAGGACTGAACAGCTCCTCCCCGCGGCATCTGCAAACTGCGTGACCCGGGGCCAGCGGCTCGCCCGCCCTGGTCTCTGCTCTCCTTTTCCTACCGGGTGCAGAGTGGCTGTGAGGATTAGAGACCATATGTGTTTAGAGAAACAAAAATATTTTATTGTTGTTATTTATAATCCTCCGTGGCCATTTATGGAGGTGGGTCATGGGAACTGAGGCATCTTTCATTCGCTGAGCACAAACAACTTCTGCTCTCAGACCCCAAAATAGCAGGGAGCGGTGGAAGGAGCTCGAAACTGGAAAAGAGGGAAGTTCAGCTCAGGGAAGGGCTGGAGTCCGGAGGGTAAGCGGCTCCTGAGAAACTGAGGAGAGAGACCTGGTAGCCAGGGGGCAGGGGAGTGAGAATGGGGGCGGGGGTCTTCAGAGAAAGCCTGGGGACACGGGGACGTACCCTCTCTTCTGTCTGCGTGGGAGGGTCAGACATGCGACGCTCAGGAAGGCTTGGGCATGAGGGGCTTCCCCGGATGCACGAGTTCTTCCTCAGGCCGAGCGAGGAGCAAGGCAGAGGTTCGGGCGGACGGCGGCTGCCCGCTGGGTCCCATGTGATTCTTACAGTCCCGTCGGCTTTTGTTCTGCTCCAAACATTTCCAGGGGGTGGCCTCCTTTTGAGACCAGAAGCAGCTGAGGCCTGGCCCCCAGGAGGGGTTCATGTCCCTGCCCTTGATGTGAGTCCCCGTCTGAAAATGGGGACTGACCTAAGCCATCACATTCCCTTCCTGCCCCGGACGCTGTGGTTCTGTGTCCCCATCGTGGTTTCCATGCCGACAGAGGACGCTCCGAGTTGTCCAGGTGTCTTCAGGGACCAAGCAGATTCACGTAAATGAATGACGTACGTAGACCAGGTGGGAAACGAAAGGGATCCGTGGAGAGTGTGGCTAGAGAGCTATCTGCGTGGCTTCAAAGTGCGCATAGTTAACTTTTTAAAATATATTTTTATTGATTTCAGAGAGGAAGGGAGAGAGAGAAACATCAATGATGAGAGAATATCATGGATCAGCTGCCTCCTGCACGCCCCACACTGGGGATCGAGCCTGCAACCCCAGGCATGTGCCCTGACCAGGAATCAAACTGTGACCTCCTGGTTCCTAGGTCGTCGCTCAAACACTGAGCCACGCCGGCTGGGCTATATTTAAATTTTTTACTAAAGCCTTGTGTTCTTTAACCCCTCAGGTCAGCCCACTTTTGCCTCCGTGCCCCCCCGTATGAACACAACGCCGGCACATTCAGCTGAGCGACTGCGGGGCAGCCATGCTGTCATCACCCCGAGGCCAGGCCATCAGTTACACGGCTAAAGAGTTGTGGCTGTTCTCAGGCTGGCTCACACCGCTCTCGGGTGACTGCATAGCCACGGATGCACGCGGCTCAATGACAGCTAACAGGTAACCCAGCCCTGGCCGGTTTGGCTCAGTGGATAGAGTGTCAGCCTGCGGGCCAAAGGGTCCCAGGTTCGATTCCAGTCAAGGGCATGAACGTACCTCCATTGCAGGCTCCTCTCCCACCCTGGTTGGGGTGCCAGCAGGAGGCAACCAATCGATGTCACATCGATGTTTCTCTGTTTTTCCCTCTTTCTTCCACTCTAAGAATCAATGGGAAAATATCCTTGGGTGAGGATTGAAAAAAAAAGTAACCCAAACAAGCATATGGCCGAGGACTTCGAGGGGCAGCAGCCTGGAATACTAGGAAAGCTTGGAGGCTGGGGGAGGCGAGACCACGTTTCAAAATGTGGGCCCACAGCTCCCACCTCCGGCCGGCCGCGGTGGGCTTACCCCCGGCTGTTCTCTGAATGAGGAAGCGCCGCATGTCCTCGCAAGGCCTGGACCACCTCTGTTTACCGCTCGCTCATTATCGCCATTGGACGGGAGACCCGAGGAAGAACACCCACATGAACACGAGGCGGCGGGAACCAGGACAGGCGGCGGCTCCATGCCCTGTCTCTGTCCTCACCCCCACGGGGGACCGGCTCTGTCTCAGGGAGCGCTCTTCACCCCGGGTTTTGGTGGGCATCTAAGACGTCCCTCTTCCTGCCAGTCCTGTCTCCGGTTCCCGGGATTGGCATGAGAGCGTGAGGAGACACGCTAAGGATCCCAGGGCTGCAGGAGAAGGCGTGCCTTGCGGACGAGTGGCTCCCGGTCATTTTGTGCGTGGGGAGAAGGCCAGGGGGATGGGGGAGTCTAAGGAGGTGAAGAGGAGGCATGGAGAGGGGCTCAGGGGGCCTGTGCTACGAGTGGCAATAACGTCTCCTGCTCTTTGCAGGCCGAGTGTGATGGCTGCCAAGCTGGCAAGTGGCCTGGGTCCCTCCATCAATGTCCTACCCGGTGCTCCTGGCCAGACCAGCAACCACGTGCAAGAAAGCAGACTCAGCCCTGCCCCCCTGCCCATGGGGCCCCGCGTCAGGGGCTCCCCTGGCTCAGTAGCACCCGAGGGAAGTGAAGCCTAAACAAGCCTGGTCGATACCCTTCCGGTGACACACAGAAGCCACCAACGAGAAGGGGAGACCCTAAGCCGCGCCCTTCCTGTCCTCCGGGCCTAGGAAGATCTCGGCCTGCAGGGACAGCAGGTGATGTCGCGGCCTCCTGGCGCCGGGGAGTGCTGAGGCCGCTGCCCCGGGCAACCCAGCCACACAGGGAGGGGGAGCGGGGCAGCCCAGTGTTGCCAGGACTCCTGTGTGCTTCCCTGATCGCTAACTTTGGCAACTTGTTTTGTTTTTTTAGGAGACATGGCCAAACCACACGTGTCCGCAGGCCCGATGGGGTCCCCAGGCCACCCCTCTGCAAACATGGGCCCTGACCGGTGTGGCTCAGTGGATAGAGCGTCGGCCTGCGGACTGAGGGGTCCCAGGTTCGATTCCGGTCAAGGGCATGTACCTTGGTTGCGGGCACATCCCCAGTAGGGGGTGTGCAGGAGGCAGCTGATCGATGTTTCTCTCTCATCGATGTTTCTAACTCTCTATCCCTCTCCCCTCCTCTCTGTAAAAAATCAATAAAATATATTTTTTTAAAAACATGGGAGTCACCGTACCATGGGCTGTAGTCACACTGCAGCACAGACAGCCCGCGAATCTCACTGGTCTGACCCGGGAAGCCGGATTCTCCTTCAGGCTACACGTGCACCGTGGGTTGGCGGGGTGAATGGGGGCTCTGCTGGGAGGTGGGCGGTGGGTCTGTGAAACCCAGGGGCCCAGGGTGCAGGAGCCCCCACCTGGTGGGGGGGGGACTTTGGAAGGTGAGAAGTTACCATTGGTTCTTAAAGCTGCCACTCATCAGGCCGCGTCTCCACGGACACGCCATTGGTCAGGCGAATCGTCGGTCGCACCCAGTGGCAAGGCGGGTGATGAGATGCCTGGAGAGAGAGTGATGGATGGCAAAACAGAACATGAGAAAATGCAATTCTCTTTAACCAAGGCCTCCTCCCCTTTTTAAGTCGGGTGGCATTTTTTCCTAAATAAGATGTCCAAGTGCAGATGCTTTGTAGAGAATTAAGGGAACTTCAAACTCTCTTCCCCGTCTTTCCTCCCCCTCTGGACCCACCTCTGCCAGTTTGGTGAGAGGGTGGAGGCAGGGACTCTGGGAGTCCCATTTAGGGGGGCAAGGAACCCAGAAACGCACGCAGTGACCCTCTGTCCCGTCCAGGGGTCTCTCTGCTGGCCCGGCTCAGGCCACTTTCTGTAAAGCCCCACCTGCCGGCAGGGAGAACCGCCCGCCCTCCGCCCTGTAGGGGAAGGCCTGCTTCCCTGGGGACTTGTCCTGGGATTATTTCTGCATCCGCATGTGCTGCCCACGCTGCCTGGGAGCCCAAAGAATCGCCCCTTGTGCCTCCCTCCTCACCCGCTCCAATTAGACCCCCTTAATGGCACCTCCAATTTGACTGCGGGCCCAAGACGCCACAATGCATGGGAATTCTCCCAGCGAGCACTCCTGCTTTTCCCATCCCCAAAACAAGGAGGGCAGAATGCGTGATTGAAAACCAGCCACCAAATGTGTGTGTGTTTTTTTAAAAAAAAAATCTGCAGTTGTGTTGCTTTGAAAACTTATTGCACAGCTGGGGGCATTTAGAGAACTTAATGAGCAAGCTTTGGCTGCCGTGCGCTCCCTCTTTGGGAGGGGGAAAATCACAGTTAAGATTTGTCCAATTAAATGATAGCAGAGTTGGATTGAGAGAGAGAGAGAGAGAGAGAGAGAGAGAGATGCAGCGTTGGATTAAGAGAGAGATATGAGAGAGGTTGGGGGGCGCACTTCTAACTCACAGAGATGCTCCCTCTGAGGGGAGGCCTGCAGTCTGATGATTTCGGGGCCAAGCTGTTCTGCTGAGTTTTCACAAACTCACAGGCAGCTTCAGGGCTTTCAACTTAAATGTAATTACAGGTTTTGATCATCAGACTTTGGTTAAACCAAGTCCCCTCTTTCCTATAAAAACGGGGGTTGGAATGTGCTGTCCTGAGGAGGCTCCCTGAACCCCCGTCTCTCACTGCCATGGAGGACTCCCCCTCGGCCAGGATCCGTGCCACCGCCGGGCTCTGGTGGGCCGCGGGCACCTAGACCTTGGTGGGCCCCTTCCTCCATAAAAAAAATAATAATTATTATATTTTACAGCTGCGTGGGCATGACGATCGTTTTCACCCAGGCTGGGATCATTCCTCCACACTGTTAGCACATTCGTTTTCTTCTCACTTACAAAGAGGTGAACGTGAAAACATTCCTGTGGCCCCATAAGACACACACGGTGGACCCAAGACAAGGTGCCTCCGAGGTAATCCGGCCCCGCCCAGAGCGTCCCATCACGAACCCAGCGAGGGGTGTCCGGGTGCCGGGTAAGAGCAGGTCCGGAGTCACAGTGACCACGACACAGTTCACAGCAACGCAACTCATAACAGCCCACGCCGGGCACTCGTCGCCACAACAGACTCACCTCCCAGGCCTCAGCCCGGGGCCCCTCCACACACACACACACACACAGAGTGATTCTGACATCATTGGTGTGGAAGAATACCCAGTACAGTATGCACTCTTGGAATGGGGAGTTTTCTGCCTTTTCCTGGGGGGATGTTCAGCCAAAGACAAAAATGCGTCAGGGCAGCCGAGAAAATGCATTTGTGTGAGCGGGCCCCCCTACTGTGGAATTTTCAATTATATATATCTAATTATGGCTGTCAGTTGATGGGTTCAGAAAAGACATTTTGCCCCCCCCCCTCCTCTTTTTTGTCTTTTCGTCATCTCTTCTGTTAGAATGATTATAGCACACTTACACAACTAATTGCCTTTCTGCTGATTAGTGATACAATTATGCAGGCCCCGGCTCCTTGTGTGAACAACCATCTGCAGAGAAAAAAAAAAAAAAAAGTGACACTATTCAAAAACTATCCATAATTTAACCGATGTTATTCCAACGCACTGAGCCCAGACAATCGACGAGCCTTCATATTTCATACCCGCCCTGGCAAGGGGAGGTTGGGTTTTGTGTGCCCAATTCACCTCTTTAGACACACTGTGAATCGGGAAGAAAGAGGGGAGAAGAAAGTCCTTCAGATGACGGCCCATAGTGGGGAACTGAAGCGTGGTTAACGTCCATTCCTCCTTTGGGTAATTTTTCTTCAAATTTTATACCACTTGGCAATTTTTTGTTTCCTTTCAAAGTGCTGAGAAAGTGCAGATGTTTTCAGTCCCCGGCGTAGGCTCGGGCCTGCCGGGGTTTTGTGGCCTGCGCTCCACAACCCTTTTCTCTGCTTTTACCCCATAATGTGTTTGGTGATGGTGTGTTTTTTTTTTTAAGAAAAAAAAGAGAAAAGAAGGGGTTTTAATAGAATTGAAGGACGAGGGCTGACATATGACGTCCCAATAAAGTGTGTCTATTGTTCTCTCGGGCAGAGGGGACGGGAGGGACGTCGCACGCTGAGAGCCAGGGCCCACCTGGAGAGCACAGGTGGGCAGACGCAGGATGCGCTTTGCCCCGAGGTGTAAACCAAGCAGCATCCTGGTCTCACCCAACGCCAGGCCAGGGCATCCCGCCTGCACCGGGGTGGGGAGGGGCCAGTGCGAGGGGCAGAAGGCCCCAAACTCTGAGGCAGGAGGCAGATTCAACGCCGGTTTTAAAATAAGACTGGAGGTGGTCAGGGCAGGAAAAGGAAAAATTCGAGGCCTCAGAGCGGCTGGGCTCTCCTCAGTCCTATTGATGTAGGCCAACGGTTATCAACCTAAGAACCAGGAGGTCAGGGTTCGATTCCCGTCAGGGCACGTGCCTGGGTGGCGGGCTCCATCCCCAGTGTGGGGCGTGCAGGAGGCAGCCGATCCATGGTTCTCTCTCATCATTGATGCTTCTCTTTTTTTCTCTCTCCTTCTCCCTTCCTCTCTGACATCAATAAAAATATATTAAATAAATAAATGTGTGAGTGTGAGTATATGTGTGTGTGTGTGTGTATGTGTGTGTGTATGAAAGTGTGTGAGTGTATGTATGAAAGTGTGTGTGTATGTGTATGTGTATGTGTGTGTGTGTGTGTGTGGTGTGTGTGTATGTGTGTGTGTTAAGTGTGTGTGTGTGTGTGTGTATGTATATGTGTGTGTGTTAAGTGTGTGTGTGTGTGTGTGTGTGTGTGTGTGTAGAATGACTTTCTAGAGCTGATCGTGGTGCTGGACCTTAAAGGCAGACATGGAAGACGAAACCCTGGAGAATGAACTGCCCGGGCTCATCCATCTCACCAGCCAAAGAAATGATGAGAAACGGGGGCCTGGTACCAAGAGCTTCATGTGGCGAGGCCTCCTCTCGAGTCGTGTGTGGCTTCCATGGGAAGCGCTCCCCCAATCTGGGCTTCCCTGAGCGACCCCCCAGCACCCAGACCAGGGCACTCAGTCTGGCCTCCCCTGGGCACTCGAGCCCGTGAGTCATCCATCCTGCCCTGGCTTCTCCCGTTCTCTGCTGCCCAGGGCTCTACGGAAAGGAGAGCTGGGCACTCGGTGTTGTTTTGATCTGGTCCCTCTGAACATCTTACAAACAAGATGACTGAAGATGGTCAGGTGGCCCCAGTGAGTGCTCTGAGTCAGAAATGGTAAAGTCTGCTCAGCCCATTTTGTTTTGTTGGGTATTCGGGGATAATAAAATTAAAAATAGTTGCGAATATTTACGGAGAACGCGCAGTGTGCCAGGCGCTTTCATGTGCTTTATTGGTTCATCTTGACCTTCAGGAAACCTTCTGAGATGGGCGATTTGATGACCCCACTGCCTGGAGGAGGATGCTTCAGATGAACAGAGTTAGTAACTAAGCCAGGACATACAGCGAATCTCGGCTGGAATCATGATTTAAACCTAAGCCTAGCGCTCTCCAAAGCCAGAGCTCTTAGCCAGCAAGCACCACCCCATCTCCTCCATGCCTCACAGCAGCTCTGCTAACCAGAGTATTTGTTTAACAACCAATGGAAGGAAAGACAAGAAAGGGAGGGAGGGAGGGAAGGGTGGGGAGGGAGGGAAGGAAGAGGGAGGGAGGGTACTCACACATATCCTATATAATACAAGCCTAATATGCTAAGTGTCTAGTCGTCCATTCAACCAATCAAAGCATAATATGCTAATGATATGCTAAGGCTACTCAACCGCTCGCTATGACTTGCACTGAGCAGCAGGAGGCAGACAGTAGCCCGGTCAACCAGTTCCTATGACATGCACTGACCACAAGGGGGCAGACACTCTGACTGGTAGGGTAGCTTTCTGCTGGGGTCCAGCCAAGCGGGACAGGCCAGACACTCCCTGGAACCCTTCTGCGGTCCCTCCCCAGCTGGCCAACCCCTTGTGTCCATCCCCAGCCCCAATCGTGTACCGGTGGGGTCCCTCGGCCTGGCCTGCACCCCCTTGCAA